TATATATATATGTATATATTTTTTTTTACATATCATGAAGTCAACTGAGCTCGGTTTCAGGAAAGCACGGCCGCAGGAAGCTCCAAGGCGGAGGCGCTCTCTCGGAGGGTTCGCTTGCTACGCACGGATGGGGGGAGTCATGGGGAGTCCCTCGCTTTACGATTCTTCGCTTGGAGGACGGCGTTGATGGGCAGAGCCTCTTCGGGGACCATCGCAGCGAGTACAGCGTGGCCTCCAGCCGCAGGTCAAGGCCACATGAATCTGTTGCATGTTGTTGTTTTTGCTTTTTGCTGGATCTGAAGTGGCAGGAGAAAAGAAGTCCAGGAAAATGGCCAAAAGGAATGGGCAGCTGCCCCAGACGTACACGTGAATGCAAACGGGGAGCCAAGATGCTTTGTTGTGTCTGAGGACAGCTCCACAGCTGCTGGGGAGGCGCCGAAATTGCAGTGTCTTGCGCGACTCGTAGGCGCCATCAAAATCGGTGCGGTCGTCTGCTCATTGTACTCTCCGACCACGTGGGCCGACCCAGTCATGCGAAAGTGTTGAAAGTTTATGTGGACGGGTGTTGGAACCGGGCTCCGCTTCTCTGATCTTTTGGGTGCTGTGAGTGGTTTCTCTCTCTTCTATTGTATGATTTTGCTCAGGATCTTCCTTCGGGTAATTGCGTTTTGGTTCACACATCCTGAACCGTTGGACTCAACGTTGGTTGCAGGACTCGTGTGCAGTTGATGGTTTTGTCATATTGTGCTGGAGCTGTCCGGCATTGTATTTACAGCATCTCCGATGCAGGCAGGATTTCATGGTCCTCTGTCTATCTGAATGGCCGTGTTCAGCGTACCGAAAACTTGGTTGCTCGCCCGGGTGCTGTTCTGTAAATTTGCAAACGGCCTGTTTCTGAGTCAGCCACTCTTGAGCTTTAGGGTCTATCTATCTGCTACTCTGCTACTCTGTTAGAATCGCATCTGTTTTGCCGGGTGCTGGGGAGGTGCTGGATTATTGATCTGCCAATGTTCACCAACAGTGCCTCCCTCCTCCATCAGGTGCAAAGCCCAGAATCAGACCAAGTTGAGGTCTTTGATCGCTTTGACGTTGTTTTCTTTTCGTCTGCGTTCAGCACGTCTGAGAATTTTGGCATGGTGCCGCGTAGAGTCTCGCAGTGAACATCGCAGAAACGATGATTTCTGGAATGATGGTCTAAAGCAAGACAAGACGAGAATGAAGACACAATCACACGAAGCAATCGTGAGCGCACGGAGCGTGGAAACGCCGCGAAGCTTGGAGACCAGCACAAGACCCCACTTTGGTCCGACTCGACCGTCGCAGGACCGGCCAGCTATTGACCCTGAGGTGAAGGGCATGGCAGAGGCCGGCGTGGAGTTTTCTTTTTTTTTTTTAACCTGAGAGCCTGGGAATGCTTTGGTTCGGCGGAGGCTGTGCTTGAGCAGCACCCCAAGTTCCGGGCCATTCACTCGAAGGACTCGGTTCAGAAGGTTATAGAGAAGGCGGGCTGCAAGGGCAGACACGGCAAGAGCTCGCGAGTTATCATGGAGCTCATTGACTCTTGACTTGGTGGCCTGACGTATCAGCCCGGCAGGTGCGTGCAGATCAGGCACTCGACGTGCCTTAAGCCTGGCACCGAGACTCATGTGGTGACAGGATCGAGGAAGCTGTTCGCATGAACGACTTATGAGGTTGATGTGCTCATGCGCACGTACTGTACCTGTACCATCTCTGCCGCTCAACAGCCATGTGGCTCCTGGCAGGACTCGGATGCATTGCCCACGGAAACACATGTGGCATGCTGGCTTTCAGAAGGTTTTGTCATTGCAATTTCCATGATCTTGACAGTGGGTGGAAACTGGCCACCAGGACTCGTAGCAGCTACCTCCAGCTGCTGTGCGCGAAGTGTAGCCACCCTTAGCACTTCCTAACCTCCTCTGACATCATGCGAATCATAATTTGTTGGCTGTTCGCTCTCGAGAAGCGAGGCATGGCGGCTGCCTGAGATCAGTTCTTCAAAGAACGGCTGCACGCAACCGCACAAGCATCCACCAGCGAGATGAAGAGAACCGATGGTCATCCCAGACCTTAATATGAGCATTGAGCTTCCATGCGCAGTGCATCAAGGTGGTGCTTTACCGCCTTGTGCTCTACGGAGTCTCTGCGGTGTTTCACCCGGGGCTTGTTCCGGGGTCATTAGAGTGAGCACAATCGCAGCCCCAAAGTCATGCAATCATTGCCCACCCCCACCTAGGCATGTTTGCAAGTTCGCCGAACTGTGTGAACTCGTGTTATGGTGCCCTTGTATCACAAGAAAAACACATCGCTGCACGATGATCGTGCTGCAGATTCGGACGCCCATGCCAGCTGACCTGCTTCGCGCGCCGCTGCCAGCTTCGCAAAGCTTGAGCCCAGCTCTTCTAGCATTGAAACCACACAAGCAGCCGCAAGCAACCCACCAGCTCACCGGACTCCCCAGTAGTCAGAGTCCTAGTTGATAACTAGTTTCTTTCGCTGAGCCTCTGCGACCTTGGTGGACGGGAGGGCTCAGCCGCCACAGCTTCGACCTCAGCCTACAGCTGCTCTTTTGGAGTTATTTTAGAGCTGTCCAAGGCCAAGGCTGAGACGCTGCTTGCCAAGAGCTGTCATGGAGGCCTTCCTCTTTGCTCCAGATCTGCAGCAAATCGCACCGACACCCTGCTGTGTGCCGTGCTTTCTCTGCTAAACAGGCACTGGAACTTGCTCTCGTCGTTTCAAATCTTTGCACAGAGGCTGTGATTCGGGTCCAACCTTATCCAGCCTGGCCAGGCCACTGTTCGGCTGTTAGACAACGAGCCAAACGTTTCCGTGCAGGCAGGAAGCGAGATCTCGTGCGCAAGACATGCATGTCGCTAAGGTGGACTTGTTCGTTCCGCACCGTGATGTACCCCATGGTGCTTTTGTGTTTATGCGCAGTGTGTCCCTGTTGAGCATTTTCGAGCATGGCAAATTGGATGGAGTCGGTGGTCGGGGGGGAAATTTTGGGGGTGGTGCCGATGGACTACCTAAGTACAGTGCGCTTGTATCACGTTGTGTCACGGTTTGCTACGCCATAGCATTGCTTCCCATACGCTGCAGTTACTGCCTGCATGCTGCAGCAAGCCTTCATCAAAGCAAAGTACCGATATAGTCGGTTGAGTTGGACACCGCTGTTCTGAAGGCACCTGTCAGACTGTCAGATGGTCTCCCAGTGTCCTAGTTCGATTCGGATTCGGGCACATCAGATCCAGGTGCTGTGGCGAGGTGCTGAGCTGAACTTGCTGCGCTCTCGCGAGGTCGAGCGTTGAGCTGCTCTACACATTCGCTGTCGAACGCGTTCTTCTCCTTCCCATGACACAGAGGGCCCCTGCTTACATGCAGGAGCCTGTAGAGCGCTTTCTGCAGCGGTTGGCCTTGAGCACGTGCCCCAGACTTCCGTCGAAGCCATGGCCAGGTCATGTCAGTAATCCTCAGTAGCTCATACCGGCTCCACTTTCTTTTTGAGCGTGAAGAGTTCGTGCTGCAACACACGGTTCACTGCCCAGGCTGTAGCAAGCAAGCAAATCGTCTTCTCGGTGGTCCTGCACCGGACTTAGATATTCCTCAGCTCAGCAGCGCACCTGAGCGGGCCGACTGTGTTCAAGTACAAGTCCAAAGGACAAGAAGAAGGCCAAGAAGGTGTGCGGTGTGCGGTCTGCGTGCACAAAGCCACTGATAAGTCTTTGCACGGCGTCTAAGCTGCCAGGAGAGCAATCAAAAGCAAAAGAAGACCCAGCAGGCGGCCTCGGCCTCGGCGACAGAGGCCGTGGCCTCAATGCCTTCTCACACTATCTTAGCCTTTAGTTTATGCGACCGATTGGCCCTCTGAAGTGAGCATTGTCAGGCTGGCACGTCTGGTACACAGCCAGCAAGCTCCGTGTCTGTGCGATGCTTATTGGTGCCTGCTCGAAGTGGTTGGGGTGAGAGATGAAAGCAAAGCGTCCCTACCCAGGTTGCTCTCTACGAAGCGAACGAAGAGAAGGTGGCCGTGGGGACACCTGTGGCTGAGGCATTCCTGCACTGTTGGCGGACGTTTACGATCGTCATAAAGAATTGCCACTTGGCATTGCTGTTCACAGGCTCTACGCCGGGCTTCCCACGTGGTGATAGAGGCATTTCGCATGATGTGCCATGCAAAACTTTGGGTGCATCCCATTCAGAAGCAGGGCGAGCGGGTGCCAATCAGCGTCAACCCACCGTCAGTGCAGAAGCTGGAGGCGCTTGCACCGTGATGCTTGAACCCCCACAAGCTGCTCCAAACATGACACACACACACACACATGATCTTCCGTGCTGCAACGTGGATTCTTGTGACTCGAAGCCTTGGATCGCCTTCCGTGGGGCCGTGCTCGAGTCGGGGTTGAAGAGAGAGCGCAGAGCCCGCGCTTCCTCCGGCCTCCGGCGCGCGGCCGGGCCGGTTCAAGCGGATTCAAGCGGAAGAAGGCGGAGGCTTGGACTCGGTCTCTGGGCCTTCGACTTCAGGGTGTCCCTTCAGATGCCCTGCAGGTGATGGCGGGGGATGTGCCCAATCCTCGGTCTCAGGAGTAGACGAAAAAGCTGTGATCTTGAATTTGGGACAGGGCCAGTTCCGAGATCTCGGAGGCTTCGGGCACGTACAGGGTCGCCATGCGCCACATAGGGATACGTAGGGATCACATGGATCACTTGCGGCTTTTGCAGGAGCCTCACGGCAGTGGCTTCGAGGTGCCTTCCCATCTGCCGAACCCTGAGAGCTGAGTCACGTCCCTGACAGTCTGCAAGTCTTTCACTGCACAGTGTGCAGCTTCAGATTCTACTTTGCTCTCAGGGTGGCAGTGCAGAGACTCGGCAGCGGAGCGTACGGTGAGGTGCATGCAGCTTCATGGCCGCGGCCAAGAGGACTTGGAGCGCGGCCGTCTCGCGCACAGGTGTACCTCTGCGAGGATACCACCAACGGGTCACAGGCCGTACTTTGTGGTGTCTGACGACAGCCGGTGACCGAATCTCGCGGAGGTTGCAGTGAAATGGATCCGAAACTTCACGAAGGACCCTTCAGACTTCAGCAAGCTTGTGCTTGTGGGCGTTGCCAGCTTTGCGGATGCACGGAAATCCCCTGCGGTCGCCGAAGGACCCGCTCTGCGGCAAAAGGATACTGCGCGAGCCGCTCGCTGAGAAGCCCAGGAACAATCTTCACAGGCTCTTGACTCAACTTGTTTCACTGATCCAGGATTCGGCTGCTTGCTGCCCTGCGCCACGAGAACCTCTTGAAGGATCCGCTTGCAACGTGAGCTAGACAGGGCAACTCGGAGCGTGGGGGTGCAAGGTTGAGCTATAGGTTTGCAGTTCCTGCCAGTTGACGGATCTATTGCCCGTGCCAAATCCTGACTTCGACGATGTCTACATAGTCATGTCCGGCACTGAGATGTTATAGCATCACGGCAGCCTCTATTGACAGCAGATTGATTGAAGGCCGTACCTGCACCTCGATCTACATCGTGCAAGGGACCAAGAGATAGACGGCGTCTTTAGTAGCATTGAGTTGCTTTGAGGGGAGCTCCAGAATCACTTTTGCAAGTGCATGTGGGGAAAGAAAATTACAGGCAGAGTCTGGTAGGCTGAACTGGCGGGCTGGCACACGAGCTGTTCCTCGATGAATGAACTACATGGGTACGAACTACATGGATAAACCTAGACTCGCCAAGGAGCACTAACAGAGCCTGACAGCAGCTTGTTAGGAATCGGCCGAGAAAGCAAACCGGAGAGCACAGATTTCACATTCTGATGTTCGGCATTGCTTGTGTTGCCGGCCCCACCGCTTCTGCGACATCCTCCCTGAACTTTGTCAACCTAGGTAATCTACTCCAAGATGAAGCTGTCGGAATCGCACACGCAGGCCAGTGATGTCAGCTTTCTTGCCGGCAGAGACTGTGCTGAGCAGTGAGGCTTTCGTTTGCCAGATTCTGCGCGGGCTGAAGGAGAGCCGTCATGTCAACATTACATAATAGGTCGCGTCAGCTGAATCTCAAAAAGGGCTGGTGTGCAGACGGATTAATGATTGAACCCTGTCTGGAGTACCTGCATTCCGCCGGAGTTGCACATCGCGACTTGAAGCCGAGTAACATCCTTGTGAACAAGGAGCCTCTGGACTTGAAAAGAAGAGAGTCAGAGTCTGATGTCTGGCCGTCTGGCCTGGCGGTCGACATGGCAGGACTGCGCTCTGAGAATAGCAGACTTCGGGCTTGCTCGAGGGCGTTCGAACTCAGAGGTGGGCGTCGCTTCACCTCGGCGCTGACAGAAGAGCCCTAGATCTGCTGCAGGAAGAGCTCACGGATTATGTCGTAACTCGCTGGTACAGGGCACCAGAGCTGATGCTTCGATCCTCAGTCACGGCATCGCAACTACCCCCTCGATCGTCCTCGAATGCCATGCAGCGACATGTCGTCTAAGGCTGTTGCCTTCAGGATACTTCGAGGCGGCTTTCTCTGAACAGCTCAGCAGAGGTGCAAGGACAGCGAGTCTCGAGGAAGAACCTCTGCCCGACTGCCAGGCTGTGGATCTGTGGTCCGTAGGCTGCATTCACTCTGAACTCATGGCCCGTGAGGCAAGCGGCCTCTGTGCTTCGATGCTCTCCCGGCTTTTGAACTCAGCCACCATGCCGGAGGTGCTCTTCCCCGGGAAAGACCACCTGGATATGCTCAGACGCATAGCAGCCACGCTGGGGCGACTCGCTGCATGTATTGCCTTGGAGCATGTTGGTGCCTTCACCTTGAACTCTCTCATTGTCGGAGACGGCCAACCCTGCGGCACGAGAGAAGTCAGTTTTGAGTTTCGGCCAAAGAGGAAAAGGCAGAGACATCGAACATAACTAAATTCTGCCCAGCGGGATCGACAGAATTGAATCATCCTCTCAGGCTCACTTCGAGGTCTCAATGCTTCTAGATTTTCTGGATTCCAGCGGTTCGGGATCGATGTTTGTATACCAAAGTTTTGCTTCGGGACTCCAGCTTCAGGTGTACTAGGCTTCGGAGCTGAGCAGGGTTTCAGTGCGGTTAGTGAGATTAGTGGATGGTCCAGCGTTCCTGCTACTAGCACTGCCAACTTGTGTCTTCCTACGTCTCTACCCGTGCCAGAGAAATCCACGGTCCATGCGTGCCAGATTTTCCATCGAACATGACCTCCACTGGGTGCCAGAGAGAGAAACAAAGCAGGCCGGGAGCTCAGAATTTGAGCCAGGGCACGTGAGGCCACGCACGGCCACGCAGGTCCACGGCATGGTCAAGACGCTGAAGTTGCCAGAGGAACCGAAGGCATCCCTTTCCTTGGAGGACCGCCGCTGAGTCCTTCTTGAGAGACCTTTTTATGAAAGAGATTCCGCTTGGGAGGAGCGCTTGCCGCAGGCTTCCGAGGTCGGGCGACAGAGATGCAACCTGAGCATGTTCGCCACTACTCCTACAGCGGTCTCCAGTTGTTCTCACTTCTCACCTGCACTGTCTCGCTGTAGTTTCTCTCGGCAGGTTTGCTTAGATCTTTTGCACAAATTCTTGGACAAGATCCCAACACGACGGATCTCTGCGTCAGCTGCTGAGAGTGACAGTGGCACCTTGAGCTCGGCTCCTGACGACAGCCGGCCGTTTCAGAAGAAAGACAACGGGCTGCTTCGTAGAACATTCATCAGGTCGGATGCGCTCGACCACGCGTGCGCCAGATGGGCTAGGGTGATCGTTGGTTGTTCGGGGCCGAATGCGCTCCGTAGGTGTTCAGGGAAAACCAAAAAGTCAAGGAAAGTCTGGCAAAAGGAGAGGGCATAGCATCCCGGGAGATCGGGACGGCATTGCCACGAGCAAAAAAGTGCCAAAGTTAACCATCGAGGCCTCAGCACTTGCAAAGCACCGGGCTTGCTGAAGTGTCGCCTCCTTGAATATGAGACGGGATGCCGGAGTAGCTTTATTTCTTTCTGCATACTCGGGACACGCCCTCTCCAGGCAAACAGCACTCGGGGTAGCATGTACTTATGCTCCAAGCCACGCATGTCAGCTTCCCTGACATCAGAGTTTCCCTTTCTGTATCATTCTTGCTTGCTTCGCTAGTTGTTACCTAGTTGTTGAATCCTTGCCACAAGTCAGGAACAACGTACAGCGAATCTGCAGAGGTACCTGGCGCACTTGCATGACCCAGCAGGGGAAACGGTTGCTCCACGGCCGTTTGCATGGGGCAGGAGCCCCAGATAGCCCCAGTACTCGTGACTTATGGTGCAAAGTAGGAGAAGCTGCGCCCTGCGTGAGCTTGCTGTTTTGTTTCGAGTTCTGTCTGCAGACCACGTGAATTGGCTGTGAATGCGTTCAGCTCCGTGTCGCTGCAGACTTTGATCACTTCGAGCCCTCAGCCCGTGCTCTGAAGGACCGGGCAAGTGAAGTCTGAAGTTCGAAGAAGCACGTGCTCAGTCAGTGCTCAGTGTGGGAGATGCTGCACAAGGACAGAGTCTATGCCGAATGTGCTAGACTTCATCCAGAAATTGTGCCGTCCTCGGCTTGAAGGAGTGCCTTCTGCTCGTGTTGTGTCCGAGATTGTCCGAGTCGGGCTTGCCCCACAACTTGGTGATGTGAGCTTTGACGAGGTCGTGAGGGACAAGGAGTGGCTCTCCGCCCGTGGGTTCCTGCCACAAGGTGCGTCGGACAGTACGTGCCGGCAGAAGCTGTCTACCTTGCACGGCATGCAGTGCTTTGCGTTCCATGCCAGGGAACGCTCCCGTGGGTCCCCCGCCTTCGCGTGCTCCAAGGACAGACACATTCTTTCGGTTGGCTACATGTGGCGGATTAACTAGCGCATAGAGTTCTGGTTAAAGAGTCCGGCTGCCGCGGCAAACAAGGTGTAGACACAGGTCATCAGAGGTCCTTCGAGGTGACGAGAGCTCGGTGTGCATTGCTTCACGGCAGGCCTCAAGCCGTCGCCCGGCCCACAGTTGGAGAAGGAGTGGAGACAGGAGAGACGGATCTCAGCAGCCGAGGTCACAAGCATTTAAGCTTTCCGGGCTTGGTGATGAGCCAGAGTTCACGTCGGATTTCAGCTTCTTGGGCTGAAGCCACATGTGTCAGAATCACAGCCTGATCAACGAAGCAGGGGGAGAAGCAGTCTATGAAGTTCACAACAAATATCACTTGTCCGAGAAGCATTTCACTGACCAGCAGTCTCTTCCTTCTGCGTGGGCACTGGAGAAGTGATGTCACCGTCAATGCCATGTCAAAACTTTGTAAGTTAGCCTCCATTAGTTCAGACTGTGGCCGGAAGCGACAGATGGCCACCAGCGCTGCCAGGAACTCCGGTCAATTCGAACTGGTCATATCCTTCCGTACAGGAACGACATATTACAGCAATTTCTTGACAAGCCTCGAACACAGGTCGTTCCTTTGCGAAGGGATGGGGGTACCCGTGCATATGCAGAGCACGCGGCGACCCCCATGGCCACATCACCCAGTCGAGAAGCCCAGCAAACCAGACTTATTCACCGCACCGTTTCAAGGCTTCTGACTGGCTGCCAAGCCACCGTGGAGGATCCGAATTCGGCCTGTAGGTATACACACGTAGAGACGACGTAGAGTGCCTCTCAGAGCTCATCCCCACGGTCCGCAGAGTTATTTTGCTTGGAGGGAGCGTGGCGACAGCCTGGTGCTGGCTAGATCTGACGTGGATGTCGCCATGCTCGCAGCTTGGGCAAACCGAAGTCCTCGAGTGTAGCCTCTTCGGCAGCCTTAGATTGGGGTATGCTTGTACCCGAGGAATTCATGCACGCCACTGCCAAGAAGATATTTCACATGGTCATAAACAGGTTGAGAGAGCAAGTAGCTGTTGTTACATTGAAACTACGAACGAATGTGGGTAACACCTTAAATTCGCCACGAAGCACTGCTGCTTCAAGTGGTGGCAAAAGAAGATGCCGGACTACTGCTGCAGCAGGCAACTGTTTTACATCGTCATCGAAGAGTATTCAGCTGTGCAAAGGTGTTTGGCCGTGCCCTGGCTGGGTGCCCACTGTCTGCCGCCGTCTCATCCCACAGGTCTGTTGAGCAATGTGCTTGCCGGCCTACCGTCTGCTTTTGTCGTGTGCAACTTATTCCAAGCTCAAGTGACGCTATGTCGTTTGAGGCCATACTTCGTTGTGAGTTCTGCGACGCATCCACATTCACGTCGCCGCCTCTGATGTTGGCATATGTTGGAGCGACATGCCCTCTTTCACATCCAGCCTCACCTCGTACATGATTCGTAGATCTGGAAGACTTAGTGCTTGCTGGTGGCCGGTGTTTTGCAGTGAGGCTGCGCTGGCTCACTCAGGCCGACGCTTGCTGACATCATCGCATCCTTTTTGTATTTATATTTGGCTTCGAGTGCAGGTTGCAGCTGGGGCCTCCGGCCTTGTGCAAGTTGGTCATGGTAACGTGTTCTGGGTTCCCGAGGCCAACTTAGTGCCGGGCTGTCACAGAATGCGCCAGAGTCTGTCAACGGCCATGGGCCACGGCTCCGGACGCCGCAGGCCGCCAAAGGTCGAACTCTGCACGTGGAGGCTGAGCCTCATCCAAGCGTTCCAAGCACATCGTGAGGGCCTCGAAGCCGGAAGAGTTGTGTTGCAACTTGGTCGGCTCGAGACTGACAGCAAAGCGCAAAGTTGCTGAGGCGCTCCAAAGGTTCTGTGCGCGTTGGAGTTGTGGAGGAGGTCGCCGCAAAGGGTGGAAGACTTGCACACTGCTAGTATTCGGGCTGCAGGTTCCTCGAGGATGGCCCGAACAAAGAGTTCAGGCCTTCGGCAAGCGAGCAGCCAATCCCTCCACTATCCGAGTTGTTCACGCCTCAAAATGTGCCGATAATCCTTGTGGATCGTCTCTTTGTCATGTGCGAGGTCAGTTTCAACATTCTCGCTGTTCCCTATGCCAGAACGCAGTTGGCCACACAAATAATGTACCCTGGCAGTTCCGCTGATCCTGTCATACAGTCGGTTGAGTGTCTGTCTGTGGAAGGTATCCCTACTGCCCATCGCAGATCCTGGACTACGCTTATCGACAACCTTTGCTAGGCGGGGAGAGGCCATGTCATGGTAGTTTCCAGGGCTTCATCGCTTCGCCTTTTTCGCAGTCAAGGCAGAGAAATCCAGCGGTTGGACGGAGATATCGTCTTCCTGCAGGAGCATTACTCGGTTTTCGGGACAAGTCAGCCTTGTTGTAGCTTCTTGCAAGGAGTGCACATATTTCACCTACCTGAAGTTCTTCCAGCCTTTGTTCGGCGAGAGGCCCGCCAGGGTGCGCCTTTTTCAAGCTCTTGCTATGGCTTAATCCAGGTACCACCTCCGCTGCTCCCTGAAAGCAAGCCACGTCTCTGAGGGTTGCTTGGTAATGGTCCGCACGGAGTCGTTTGAGGCCAGTCGGAAGCGCGATTTCTTGACTTGCGTCTGGCGCACCAATGTAGAGTTCGGTCGCTGACATGGTCTCAAGCTTGATCATGCTATATGCGCGGCCGGCTTCTCTGTGCAGATGAACTCGAAGCAAGTTTTCGTAGCAGTCATTATCAGTCCATAAATCGGTGGCAAGACTTCTAGCAGAGGGCCCCGCCGACGGACTTTGAAGCCCAGCTCGTGCGACATGGCCCGGTTGCTCTGCTAGGCTCATGCTGCGGGCATGGCCTTTGATGTTCAGCTGCCCCGGCTCATGCATCCCACCACGGCCTCTCTGGACTCATTCGGTCTCCCTGCTGGTGTGGATTCCGACACTTCTGATGCCAGTTGTGCGAGGCGAATCAAAAGAGCCTGCTGAGACCGAGGACCCTGAGTTCTTCACCCCCGAAAAGTTTCCTTGCGGCGAGCGGGATGTAGAGATATGGGAGGGCATCAGGGAAGTGATGCGGGAGATGATCTCCCGATATTCTGGCCGCTTGAGCTTCGTGAACATGGAGGCTGATGTGCCCTTTATAAATTCTGTGCAAAGCCAAGTAAGGGAGCTGTTGCTCCCGGGGCAAGTATTCGATCCGGAGATACGGCTCCCTTGGAGGGAGGGGCTTGAGTGGACCACCTGTCACTCGGGAGTTCTTGCAGTGAGACTGCTCTTTGTGGCAACGAAGCAACTGGGCCGGCCCGGGGATGTTCCTGACTTGGCCACAACCCTGGTAGCCTCTGCTCTAATGGCGCCATGGATCAGTATCCTTCAGAGTGGCTGGCCAATCTTCAACCTCCTGGCGATGCTGTCCAGATGGGCTTCCCCGTTTCTGGATGGGCCAGGAGCACTTCTGACATCTCATGGCAGATCAGCCCGGCAAAAGGCGATTACTCTGCAGTCTCGCTGCGATGCCGGAGAAGCGGGCGCAACGAGACAGGCTCGGGAACTCATTGGAGGGCTTTGGAGACATCTTGATCCAGATGCTTGGAGGGGAAATGAGAGCGTGCAAGCAAAGCCCATGGAAGAAGCATTGGCTCGATTGTCCAACTTGCCTACCTATCACAGCCCGTCTGCAGTTCGTGGCCAGAGTTGCTACTGGACGCACCATCCAACCAAGGTGGCACACGAGGCTTCGGATGCATTAAAGCAGTTCGCAGAATCAGCGGCTTATTCACAGGTTTTGGCCTCTTGTGCCGAGTCACCCGATTGTGTCGGAGCCAGAATGGACACGGATCCCACGCTCCTTTCGGAGCTGCCGATTTCCGAGCTGTCATCCGGCCCGTCCTTCCTGCTCTGGTGCTCCCCGATGCTGAAGAGCTCCAGCTCAGAAGATGGGATTGTCTTGCAATGCCCGCTCTCAAGAGCAGTAGGCTTGCTGACCACGGCTTACAGGCGCTTCAGTGAACCAGCAGCAAGCAGAGACACAGCTGGATGTGGGGGCTTTTGTGCTCCCTCCTCTTTTTTTTCTCCTCTCTCTCTCTCTCTCCGTCTATCTCTGTCTCTCTCTTTCTCAAAGCATGCAACACATGTTCTTCAAACAATGCTCAAACATGTGTGCGCGAGCTACTATCTGTATAAATGCTCGCCGCCCCCCTCCAGTCAGGATCCTCCGGATGGGTGGCCTAAGGGGGTGCCGGGATGCACCACTGTACTCCTAAAGAATCCCAGACTTCAATCCGTGACATTCAGGAACACATGTAATTCTCAAACAAGTCCAACATTACGGCGTCCACGGCTTGGCGGCGGTCGAACATCTCCAAACTTTTGGAATTTCTTGATTTTTTGGGGATTGCAGGTTTTCGCGAGTTTCAGGATTGATGTGCTTGGTGAGGTTCGAGACAAGATAAAATTGGAACTTTTGTGCATTACAGTTTTTGGTGAGGTTCCTGTATTTGAAACTTATATGTCAGCATTAGACTTCGACCTGGTCATTTCATAGTATGCCTCCATTGTGAACCATGCTAATCCAAACTGGGCCGCCGCAGTGTTTCATCAGCCGATTACAGACCATGTTAATCCACATGTACTCCTCAACGCTAGCTCATCATTTGGACGGGTCCTTGCGTCGTAGATTTTCATAGCCGGCGCCACTGGGCACCTTCATGCCTTATACGAGCATTATGCATTTTATCGCTACTACCATCCTCCCTATATGTCCCAGGATGTTTTGGAAAGCTTGCACGCCCCACTATCTCAAGGAAAAGACTTGTCTTCCTTCAATAGCAAGCTTTTGGAGTCCAGATTTGTTTTTGTCCCCCCCCTCTGCCGGTCCTCTGGACACACCAACCCATGTCTGCACTCTTATAATATGGCAGAGCTCCGTATCCAGGAAGGGCTAAGAATGGACTTAGCGACATGAAATATGACAGAAACTTTAGCACCCACAATTGCTGATCAGGCAACATACTTTGAGCATGAGGGTGCTCCTGAGCTACCCGAAACCTTCCCAAACAGAACTCTCCAAAACGCCCGCCCGCAGGGCGTACCATGCTGTTAGCTTTGCTGCCATTTCTTACACATGAGCTCTACAAGTCAGAATCAGAGCTTGGCCGTAGTAGTTGTCATCACTCATCCATGCCGAACCCACTTACAGATCCTCTTACATGTTGGTTGACATCCACGAGTCTCGTTGATTGTGCGCCACCATTCCCTGTATGAGTAGAATTGTACACATCAGCCTTACTACCATCCTCCTTGTACATCCCATTGGAGCCCAAGTACATTCACATCTGTTTACCAGATGTTTGGGCACCTTGTAAGTCGGACTATTTTGAATTTGTTGCGATGCGGACATAGACATTCAGCGCAGCGTAGGCACTCCCCTTGCTACGACTCGCACTTAGAGCCAGTACAGCTGTTGTATGACGAACGTTTACAAGTCTAAGACTAATCCTACCCCATCGTTCCGACCATGCCTGAATTCCTGTATATCCCGGTCTCCGTTTACGAGTATAGCGATCTTGCTGTCCCATGGTTCCGCTAGGCGAGGGCCCACAAGCACAATTTATAAGATAAGGCGTTCGGTGACACTATGAACTGAGATCAGAATGACAACAGAAACACGCGGTTTCACTCCAGCAACAACAAATGTGCCACACCTTCCAGCTCCTTTATTTTTAGCTTTTCCAACACATAAACATAAATAAATAAATAAATAAATAAATAAATAAAAATATATAAATATTAGATAAATAAATAAATAAAAAAAAATATATATATATATATATAAATATAAATATGTATATATGTACATTTGTTCATATATATATATATATATATATGGTACCCCCCCCTCCCAAAACCCACCCCAGAATATCAAAAAAGTCGGCGTGAGGCCAACAGTTGCCCATATAAGGCCCCGTAAAAGGACCGTGTTAGTGCACAGGGCCGAGGAACAACTTTGCGGACCAATCTTGGTTCCGAGGCCCGAGCCCGTGTTAATTAAC